CCCCCCCCCCTCTCGCGTAAAACTTTTGCATCGTTGTCAGTGACTCTCGTATGTGTGATACGTCCAAGGTTGTTCAGAAGGAACAAGGGTGAAGAAGAAGAAGAAGAGAAAAAAGTGTAGGAAAATGATTAGAGGGTCCATCTCAGCGCTGGGAAAGCAGAGGATCCGTCTCCCCGCCGTCTTGCCGCTCCTGGGGATCCCATTCTGGCCACCATGGCTGCCACCTTCTATCTCGCAAATGTCTTCGCACGCGCGCGGTAGCCAGGACTGTCAGGCCGATGAGCGCCACGACGACGAGGGTAGCGGCGACGGCGACGAGGACGGAGATGGTGTTGACGCTCGAGACGTTGCATCCCAGCGGCTGTGTGCGCAGCTCCCACTGCTCCGTCGATGCCGGGCATATGCCCTTCTGGTAGGCCGGCGCGAGAAACGGGACTAGATGCGAGTTGGGGACGCATGACCAGGTCTTCGGGGTGTTTTTATTTTTATTTCATTAATTTATTGATTTTTTTTTGACCTCATGAGCAAAGAGTGGCATTGATTGCGTCGTTCTGCTCTGCCGGGGACGAGGTGGAAACTCACGTATGGACACCAGCTACACTTGGAGATTTCGAGGCAGCTGTCGCACGATGCATGGCCCCAACATCGCAGGAGCTCATCTCGCTCGTGGTCGGCAAGGGTGAAATTACCGCTGAATGCTGCGTCGGGATCCATCGATATCTGAAGGGAAGAAGAATCCTATAACCTGCAATCTCTTGTCTGACGGCCGGTGCCGGTGCCGGTGCCGGTGCTGGTGCTGGTGCTTTCGTCGGTTGGATGACCGTCAAGAGCCATGACGAGGCAGAGGGCGTCTCCCCGCTTCCGGAACGTGTATCAGCGTGACAGGCACGTGCAGCCGTGCTACATCCATGCTGTGCGGCACAGCCACGATGACTTGACTGACTCACTCTACCGTGAACTCGCATTCGGCGTAGACGCCTCGGATTCTTCCACTCTTCTCATCATAGGCAATGATGAGAAGAGTTGCGTGGACAGATATAAAGACGAGGCCCATGGCGACTGTCGACCTCCATGCTTACTATCGGTACGTCAAGGGGCACAGAGTCAAGGATAGGAGGAAGACGTCTACTACAACAAGAGCGACGAGAACAAGAACAGGAAGAACAGCATCGACATCGATTTTTTTTTTAAAAATTTTTATTTTCTTTAAAAAAAGGAAATTTTTATGGAAGATGGCAAGGGAGAAGCGGATAGATACAACAACGATGCCGACCACGGCTGCCTGGAACGACTGATCAACACCATTGCAGACGTTGATGGTAATTCCACCGCACCGACAGCGACGTGCAACAAGCATATAGGACATCTCTTCATACGCGTACACATGGGGACTTTTTTTTCTTAAAAAAAAAGAAGAAGAAAAGGGAAGACCGAGGGGAAATGGTCCAGAAGAGTGAAGGAGGATCAGAACTAAACCCCCCCCCCCCTCCCGCCTACCATACTGCAGAGCTCGTCGAAGATGACTAGATGACTTGGAGCTCAGAGACGAGAGAAGGCCCCGGCCACCTCTCCTCCCGTCCAGCTTGGCGGGAAAAGCTTGTGGGCGACGTCGCTAATGCGTGCTCTCTGACCGGGGAAGGCTGGGTGTCTTGCCATCGTCGTACACCTTGTTGTCCGCGGCGTCTGTGTAGACTTTGTTGACGGTGGAACCGAAGTCGACGGCGGTGAAGTCGATCTGGGTGGCCTCGACGTTGTTGACGTTGCGGCCGTCACAGCCGACGACGGCTGGAGCGGGAGCGGGAGCAGCCTTGCCCTGACCCCGGGAATCGTGAGTGGGGGCGGCCACGGCACAGCCGGCCATGAGGATGAGGAGGGCGTTGACGATGTTGAGACGCATCTCGAAATTCGAAAAAAAAAAAAGAGACAAAAAGGTGTCGAGAGTTGGGACTATGATGTATATATATATATATATACAGAGTTGCTGAATGTACCGTGTATCAAAAGGAGGATGGATGGAAAGAAACGAGCGTACAGAGTGGGAGATGGCGCAGAGGCAGCAAAGGAATGGAACACGCGGGCCTTTTTATGAGAAGAGAACGAGAGAGGAGGGAGATTTCGGGAAGAAGGGAGATGGGATGTCTGGAAAGGAGGAGGGCGAACTCCTACTCTCATCATACGCTCGAGAAGAGAGCTCTCGAGATGCGAGGGATGAACCGAGGACGTTACGTTGCGCTCCATCCCTTCTCAATGACAGGTCGGTTGTCCGTGACAAGACATTCCTGTCTTTCAGATGCAGGGATTCAGAGTCGTCGTGTCTGTATGGTTGGGGGCATGATCTATGCAAGGGAAAGGGCTCTTATAAGTGGGATGGTTTTCAGCTCGGCAGATTGGGACCAATGATGTGGGAGGGGTTAAGGGAAAAAAAGAAAGGAGAGGATTCAGAATAATGGAGGGCCTGGAACGATGGAGAGGGAGAGAAGGAGAGAGGGAGAGAGGGAGAGAGAGAAGTTGATCTTGTCAATGTCGGTGGGTTGGTGATGTGAATAGAAGAGAGGTGTACGGAGTAGTATTCATCTCGCATGTGTAATGATATATGCAAGATATCACTACAAGGGCTGATATCATAAAACAATCGGCAGCCTGTACTATGCAATCATACATACCATGTATTGATAGAAGGTGACCGGGGGGATCGATAGGGAGAATAGGGAGAGGAGCGTATCAGAGAAGGAAGGGATCGTGGCATATTTTGGCGGAGGCGATGGGGTAGCAGTAATTGGTCAATGAATTGGTCGATTAATTGGTCAATTAACTGGTCAATCGATAATGGGAAGAGGGTCCTGCAAGAGATGGAGGGAACTGATGAGTATCATTACTCACCGCTTGCTTGCTTGCTGGCAGCAGCAGGTCTATATCTTCTTTCCCTTTTCTTTTCTTGTCCTCTTCCTTTTATCTGTCTTCTCCCTCTTCTTCTTCCTTTTATTTGTCTTTCCCCCATCTTCTTCCCCCCCCCCCCCCCCCCCCCCCCCCCCCCCCCCCCCTCTCCCTTGGCATCAGAATTCACGATGATGCTGTGACTGCAGAATTACAGAGGTAGATAGATTCGACAATTGACTCATCACAATCGGTATTGTATCTCATACTACTTACTAGGAGTCTCGATGCTTGTCAGGAGAAATCTGCACTTCATCTTCATCGACGTATAGTACTCACGTCCAACACGTATCTGACGCGATGCAGGGGGTATTCCCGTCTATTCACGGCATTCATCCGATGAGCCAGTTCATCTGCTCGAGACTCGAATCGATCGATGCACGACGTGCTACCTCGTGCAGGCAATTCCGCAAATCTCTTCATCCCCCAGAGTTTGACTATCATCGATCGTAGAAAACATGTCCAATGCTCGCAAGTGCGGGTGCGTATGCCACAGGAGAGAGGAGCCTCTTTGAATGGGGCGTGCTGGTACGTAACGATGAGCTGCGGATATCGATAGGAAGAGGACGATGAGCGGTCCACCCTCTCGGTCGGTGCGCTGACCGGTAAGCCTCCGGGCCGAGGGAGCACAGGCCGTGATGGGGTTGTCGAGACGTATGGACATGCATGGCTTGCTAGAGGGACATCCCCCAGCGCCCACGACCGGAGAACAAAAGCCGCCTAGACCCCACGGTAGCAAATGACGATGACCGCGTCCCCGACCTGAACTGGTTTGGTGTCGGGTGGGTGGGCTGCGACTATGACTACGTCTTCCTATCGACTCTGACTCTCACGGCTGTAGTGGTGCTCCGATATCGACGTCAGGGTTGAAGTGTGTGCGTGTGTGTGTGTGTGCGTGAGAGAGAGAGAGAGAGTTTTGATAAAAACTTGTCAGGAAAGAGTATGGATATACATCATTTGCATAACAAGAGAGTAGAAGCTTGATCACCGACCTATCTGTATGTATAGAAATCTGTTAAGAAAAAAAAAAAAACAAGGGAAAAAAAAAAGGGCCAAGAATATTGAAAATGATGAAGAAACGATTGTTGAAAATCATCCTTATCGGACCATCAAAATTGTGCTTATCGCAGACGAGTCACTGGCTCGTTCCTTCTCTTCCCCCGACCCCGGAACCTACCTGCCAAGTGCTTTTTGCCTTGTACATGCATCTAGTGACTTTTTTTTTTTCTTCTTTTTTTTCCCTCTCTCTCTCTCTCTCTCTCCCGCGCCAGTCACAGATTCCTCCCCACCCTCTCCCTCCCTCTCCCTCCCTCCCTCCCTCTCCCCCTCTCCCTCTCTCCCCGCCCCTCCCACACAGAAACGAGTCACCGACTCCCTCGACTCGGGTCAGACATCTACGCCATACAGACTTCTGACATACGGGTCAATTGGGATACGCAGACACCGTCAAGGTTGTTCCCGTGACCTCGATTGACTTGCCTCCTCACGATGCTCTCATCAGCCTCGGCCTCGCTTGCTGGACGAGCTCCGGCTCTGCTCCGATGCGGTCGCCGTGTCCCCAGCTCCCTCTCCGTCCGCTCCTTCTCTCGCGTCGCCTCGGCTAGGCCTCCTTCCCACATCCTCTCCTCGTCCGTCAGCGGCCCCTGCAAGCGCCTAGGCACGATCTCCATCGTCCGACCCTACAGCTCCTCCACCTCCCAGTCCGCCCCGAACCCCCAGGCCTACCTCGACAGCGGTGTCATCAAGCCCCAGCAGAACGTCGACGTCAAGAAGGTCCTCGTCATCGGTAGCGGAGGTCTGGCCATTGGCCAGGCTGGAGAGTTTGACTACTCTGGTGAGTTGCGATCCGCATCCGTCCATCCCATCTCTCTCTCTCTCTCTCTCCCCCTCTCCCCCCCCCCTCTCTCTGCTCGGCCGGCAAGATCGATCCATCTCACATGTCTCTTCTGACGATCCACCCTCCCGCCCCCCATCGTAGGCTCCCAAGCTCTCAAGGCCCTCAAGGAGGCCGGCGTCGCCTCGGTCCTCATCAACCCCAACATCGCCACCATCCAGACCAACCACTCTCTCGCCGACGAGGTCTATTACCTCCCCGTCACCTCCGAGTACGTCACCTACGTCATCGAGAAGGAGAGGCCCGATGGCATCTTCCTGTCCTTTGGCGGCCAGACCGCCCTGAACCTGGGTGTCCAGATGCAGCGCCAGGGCCTCTTCGACAAGTACGGCGTCAAGGTCCTGGGTACCAGCGTCAAGACCCTCGAGACCTCCGAGGACCGCGACCTGTTCGCCCGCGCCCTCGACGAGATCGACATACCCATCGCCAAGTCCATCGCCGTCAGCACCGTCGACGAGGCCCTCGAGGCCGCCGAGAAGGTCGGGTACCCCATCATCGTCCGCGCCGCCTACGCCCTCGGCGGCCTCGGTTCGGGCTTCGCCAACAATGAGGAGGAGCTCCGCAACATGTCGGCCCGCTCCCTCACCCTGTCGCCGCAGATCCTCGTCGAGAAGTCGCTCAAGGGCTGGAAGGAGCTCGAGTACGAGGTGGTCCGCGACGCCAACAACAACTGCATCACCGTCTGCAACATGGAGAACTTCGACCCGCTCGGCATCCACACCGGTGACTCCATCGTCGTGGCCCCCAGCCAGACCCTGAGCGACGAGGAGTACCACATGCTCCGGTCGGCCGCCATCAAGATCGTCCGCCACCTCGGCGTCGTCGGCGAGTGCAACGTGCAGTACGCCCTGCAGCCCGACGGCCTCGACTACCGCGTCATCGAGGTCAACGCCCGTCTCTCCCGCTCGTCGGCCCTGGCCTCCAAGGCCACCGGCTATCCCCTCGCCTACACCGCCGCCAAGATCGGTCTGGGCCACACCCTTCCCGAGCTCCCCAACGCCGTCACCAAGACGACGACGGCCAACTTTGAGCCGTCGCTCGACTACATCGTCACCAAGATGCCCCGCTGGGACCTGTCCAAGTTCCAGCACGTCAAGCGCGACATCGGCAGCGCCATGAAGTCGGTCGGCGAGGTCATGGCCATCGGCCGTACCTTTGAGGAGTCCTTCCAGAAGGCCATCCGCCAGGTCGACCCGGGCTTCCTCGGCTTCCAGGGCGACAGGTTCGACGACCTCGACTACGAGCTCCAGAACCCCTCGGACCGCCGCTGGCTCGCCGTCGGCCAGGCCATGCTCCACGAGAACTACTCGGTCGACCGCGTCCACGACCTGACCAAGATTGACAAGTGGTTCCTCTACAAGCTCCAGAACCTCGTCGACATGAACCGCGAGCTCGAGGCCGCCGGCTCCCTCGACGCCCTCAAGAAGGAACAGCTCCTCCAGGCCAAGAAGATGGGCTTCTCCGACAAGCAGATCGGTCTGCTCGTCGGCAGCACCGAGGATGACGTCCGCGCCCTCCGCCTGTCCCACAACATCCGCCCCTGGGTCAAGAAGATCGACACCCTCGCCGCCGAGTTCCCCGCCAACACAAACTACCTCTACACCACCTACAACGGCTCCTCGCACGACGTCGACTTCGAGGACAAGGGTACCCTCATCCTCGGCAGCGGTGTCTACCGTATCGGTAGCTCCGTCGAGTTTGACTGGTGCGCCGTCAGCGCCACCCAGGCTCTCCGCGACATGGGCGAGAAGACCGTCATGATCAACGTGGGTTCTCCCCTCCCCTTCCTTCCTCCTCCTCCTCCTCCTCCTTCTTCTTCATCTTCCCCCCTTTTCCTCCGCTTCCAAAAAACAAGGAGAAGAAGGAAAGAACTTTTCTTCCAAAAAAATTGGAAATTTCATTTTTTTTCAAAAAAAAAACCCCCTCTCCCCTATGGAAGGACATTTCCTCCGACTGACACGCACCCCTTGATAGTACAACCCCGAGACCTTCTCCACCGACTTCGACTGCGCCGAGAGGCTGTACTTTGAGGAGCTCAGCTACGAGCGCGTCATGGACATCTACGAGCTCGAGAGTGCCAAGGGTGTCGTCGTCTCCGTCGGCGGCCAGCTTCCCCAGAACATGGCCCTGAAACTGCAGGAGTCTGGCGGTGCCAACGTCCTCGGAACCGACCCCAGGGACATCGACAAGGCCGAGGACCGTCAGAAGTTCTCCGAGATCCTGGACAGCATCGGCATCGACCAGCCCGCATGGAAGGAGCTGACGTCTGTTGAGGAGGCCGAGAACTTCGCCAACGAGGTCGGATACCCCGTCCTCGTCCGCCCCAGCTACGTCCTGTCCGGCGCCGCCATGACGGTGATCCGCAGCCGCGAGGACCTCAAGGTCAAGCTGGAGGCGGCCAGCAACGTCTCGCCCGACCACCCCGTCGTCATCAGCAAGTTCATCGAGGGCGCGCAGGAGATTGACGTCGACGCCGTCGCGTCGAAGGGCGAGCTGGTGATCCACGCCGTCAGCGAGCACGTCGAGCAGGCCGGCGTGCACTCGGGCGACGCCACGCTCGTGCTGCCGCCCGCCAACCTGGACAAGGACGTCATGCAGCGCGTCAAGGAGATCGCCGAGAAGGTGGCCAAGGCGTGGAACATCACGGGCCCCTTCAACATGCAGATCATCAAGGCCGACTCGGCTGAGGGCGTCCAGCTGAAGGTGATCGAGTGCAACCTGCGGGCGTCCCGCTCGTTCCCCTTCGTGAGCAAGGTGCTCGGCCAGAACTTCATCGACGTGGCCACCAAGGCCCTCGTCGGCAACAACGTCCCGGCCCCCACGGACCTGATGGCCATCGAGCGCGACTACGTGGCCACCAAGGTGCCCCAGTTCTCGTGGACCCGTCTGGCCGGAGCCGACCCGTTCCTGGGCGTGGAGATGTCGTCGACGGGCGAGATCGCCTGCTTCGGAAAGGACCTCACCGAGGCCTACTGGGCCTCCCTGCAGTCGACCATGAACTTCCGCATGCCCGAGCCGGGGGAGGGCCTCCTCTTCGGCGGCAACGTCACCAAGCCCTGGCTCACAAAGGTGGCCGACTACCTCGCCCCGCTCGGCTACAAGTTCTACGCCGCCGACGAGGAGGTCAAGAACTTCCTCGAGTCGTCGTGCGCCGACCGCTCCGTCACCGTAGACGTCATCGAGTTCCCCAAGGAGGACAAGCGTGCCCTCCGCGAGGTCTTTGAGAAGTACGACATCCGCGGCGTCTTCAACCTCGCTCAGGAGAGGGCCGCCACCACCCTCGACGTAGACTACGTCATGCGTCGCAACGCCGTAGACTTTGGTGTACCTCTGTTTATGGAGCCCAATGTATGTTTCAGAGAGAACCATCCCTTCCTCCTTCCTCCTGCCCTACCCCCCTCTACTACGTCCAACGCGATTCTTCTTATCATGATGATTATTATACTAATATTCTCTTACCCCTAGACCGCCATCCTCTTTGCTCAGTGCATGAGCGAGAAGCTCCCCCGGCCTCAAGGTATCCCTTCTGAAGTCCGTACCTGGGCTGACTTTATCGGAGGAAAACCTCTGTAAAAAAAAATCATTTAAAAAAAGATTTTCCAAGAGAGAGGAAAACAACATTAGCGGCAGTAACGAGAGAGAGAGAGAGAAAGCAGGAGGAGCCAAATGAAATATATATATATATACATGTATATGTATAAAGAAAACGAAAGGAGAAGAAGAAAGAAGAAAGAAGAGAGCGCATGTGTGTGGTTGGAATAAGCAAAGAAAAAAAAGAAGAGGACGAGATGGAATGGCGTTTCTATATTCATGGTTTAGTCGTTTTATGTATTTATTATCTATTAAACTGGGGGGGGGGCGGTTTACAACAACAACAAAAAAAAGAAAAGAAAAAGTCTCATGCGTTGATGAATCTCTTTGTCTTGTTCATTAAATCTCTCAACTTGGATACGGGAAGAAAAAAATGACGACGAGCGCGCCTTGCTGAACATCTTTACTCTACATGCTTATGCCACTTTGCTTCCCGAGACCCCCCTACCCCTTTTTTTCCATGGTTTTTTTTCCCTTCTCTTTTCCTCTTCTCACACTCTGTACGTATCGTGTATCATGCATGCGTACGTTGCTATCCCGGCGTCTTCTTCTCATCATGGTCCCGACTCTTGTCCTTGTCCCGACCCTTGTCCTTGTCCGCTGGCCGGCTTGACCGGTCATCACCACCGAGTGTACGACGCTCATTCAGCCTGAAGGCAGCAAATCTCTTAGCAAGTGGCTCACCCGAGTCCCGTGAGACGGGGAGGTTTCGGGAGTTGGAGTTGGAATTGGTGGGAGAGGAAGCAGCAGCGCGAGCATCTTGTTGGTCACGCTCCCGCCGACGCTTGGGGATTCGCTCACCAGTCGTTTCAAGAATGGCCAGCAGGTTCTGCCAGCCCTCGGTGGATCGGAGTTGGAGCGACCCGGCCAGGTCGTGCTGGCTTGCGACGCGGCAGAGGAGGGATGCCTCGTCCTGGGTAGGCGGGGGAAGAGGAGGATTTGTTAGTCCTCTTTCTTGTCCTGCAAGACCGGGAGGAGGAGTGTCTGCGATGGGACGGGTACCTACCTTGGACAGGATGCCCATCTGGAGGATAGCGCAGAGGAGATGAAAGTTGGACGTTTCCCGGGCGTCCTGCGACGTCGCGGCGCCGGAGAGAGCCTTGGCGATGGCTCTGGGTTCCTGGCTCTCGCCGATCTGCTCGCGGTTCTCGATGGGGAAGCCTGTCTGGGTGAACATGGGTTTCGGCTGCGCCGGGAACCCGTGGGTTAGTGTGACGAAGAGGTACTCCACGGGGAAGGCCGGCTTGGCGTTCTCCTGGACGTTGGCCCCGTACTCGTTGACCTTGCGGTAGAAGACCTCGGGGATGTATCGGGTGCGGCTGGCGGAACCGTCGTCCTCCTCCTCGTCGCGCACGAGCATGGCGTTGGGGTCGGCCGACGGCTCGACGATGTCGGCGCGCACCATCTCGACGGCGTCGTTGGACACCTGGTACGACGAGACGGCAATCTGGCTCTCCTCGTCGCCTGAGATGACGCAGGTGACGAAGCTGGATCCAAACCTGGCCGACTCGCTCCACTTGCACGCCTTGGGGTGCTGCGCCTGCAGCCTCGCCGAGAAGCAGATCTCTAGCGAAGAAAGGAAGTATGAGTCGGCATGGCGTTTGCAGAGCACGGATCCGTCTCCGCGACCGGAATCTATCAGGTCAGTCCAGACGACGCCCACCGGCTCGAGACCGCAGAGCTTGGCGACGTTGTCAACGTCGGTCTGGTTCTCCCAGGCGTTCTGCGTTATCCCGTCTAGTTCGTCGACCTGCGGAGGCTCGTAGATGGCTTCGACAACTGCCTTGATGCCCAGAGGCACCTCGGGGTACTCTGTGTAGAAGCCGTAGAGGTAGCCGAGACGCTGGGCGCCCGTCTTGCGCCACGCGTCGAGGAAATTGTCGATGATGGCAGGTGATGAGAACTCGACGTGGTCTACCATGCGGAAGGGCTGGGGGTTCAGGGTGATGGCGCTCGGCTGGCACGTGGTGCAGATACCCTCTGGCCACTGCGGGTGGCCGGTTGGGCAGTCGCGTCGGACGCGGTAGAAAGGCTCGGCCAGAGGCGGGATGTAGGAGGCGCCCAGCTCGGGCTTGTTCGTCTTGGCGTTGACCTTGCGTAGGTGAGAGTGGAAGGAGGTGTACTTGATCTTCTTCTCTTCGAGGTAGGTCGGATCGAACGGGTCGAGAGGCTGGCAGTAGTCGCACATGCCCTTGGGGCCGTGACGGCACATCCTGCCCTGTCCGCGCGGGATCTTGCCATCCTGGCGATCTAGGCGGTCGTCGAGGGCCGACTGGCGGACGACCTCCCAGGGACGCGTGATGCGCTCGCTCTTGGGCTCGACGGGGGCGTCTTCGGTGGGCAGGACGGGCTTCCCGCTCAGACGGGCTGTCGTCGTGACTGGGGCGCCGTCTGCTGATCCGGCATCCGAGCTGGCATGCTGATAGTCGACAAAGACGAGGTCACCGTGCCTTGGAGGGGTAGACTAGTCAGCTTGCGGAGGAGGGAGAGCGGATAGGGTGCGAAGAGGAGAGCGTACTTGAGGCCGACGGAGCCGATCTTGAACTGTGCCACCTCCCTGATGGGCTTCGCCGTCTCCTTGTTAGGCGAGTTCGCGACGGTTACCGACTGGGGGTTTACGGTGGGGGGTAGCTGTGGCAGTAGCTACGGCAGAGAGCTCCGGTCAGACAAAGCGGTGGTCAGGCATGGGGTTCAGAAGGAGCTCACATCTTTTACCAACTGGCCAAATGTGGTTGTGGGCTCGACGGTTATTCGGAAGGTGCCGTCGGGGCCACGGCAGCGCAGCAACATGGTGGCGGTAGTTTGCTGGCCGTCCGTACGTATCTGTCGTTGAGAGCTCGAAGCTGCCGAGAGGGTAAAGGTGGTAGATTTGATGGGGGAGGGGGGGGGGGGTATGGATTAAGAGAGTAAATCCGGTCCTGGTTGTCGTGGGTGCTAATGTAGCGTATCTCGGTCCCAAGACGGATAGATGGTGGGAGGGACGCCAGGGCTGTATGCTGGTGGTTGAAGTGGACGATGATGCTTGTGTGCCTTGGAAGCTTTCTGTTGATCGTGGGGTTGCTCTCGCTAGTCACGTCAGCCAGCGTCATCGGTGGTGGCCTTGGAGCACACTGCATGAACCACGGCGCCACAGGATCTCGTCGCCACGACGCCACACGCCGACTCCACAGTGCCACATGTAAATGGCAGCTCCTGATGTCACCGGCGATGCCGAAGAAGTATTGTACAGGCGTCAACAAGACACACGCCCGTTAATACATCCCGCCATCCAAATCATTCAAGTCGTACTACTACAAGGTGGCAGTATAAATGATCAATGCTAGCTCCACTCTTGCGGAATTGAACCGACTAGTGCAAGCAAACCAGCGTGTTCCATAGCCTATCCTGTACTACGCACCGGGGGTATCGGATCAGCATTAGTCCGTGCCACGGTCTCACATCCCTACCACGAGTATCATTAGCGGCGTGCCCTCCCCAGAAAACGACAGGCGGCCCTTGGAGCCACGCTGTCGCATACTGGAGCATTATTACTTCGTGGGGAGGGAAGAGAGGCCACGCTTCCTTCCTTTCCATCTTGACCATCCGACATCTTGGCCTCGACCACGTTTCCCTACACTCCCTCTGGTCGAGCTCCCTTCAACCCGATATTTCTACCTGGAAGATTTGTCCTTGTTTTTCCTTCTTCTTTCTGTTCTTGCTCTTCTTTCACATACGACATCTCCCGACGGTGCGTCTCGTGCGACGTCATGACCATGGGAATCCCCGATATTGACTGGAAGGGCCTGGGCCTTCCGTTCGCCTACGTTCTTGTTCTGGGCGGCGCCCTCATGGTTTTTTCCACCATCTACCGCAAGCGCAGAGCAGGTAAAGTCGGATGAGAAACCCCCTCCCCTCTTGCGGTCTCTCTCTATCTGGTATTGGGTAGCTATGATCGGGAACTGAAACTGACATTTGGGGGAACTCGTCTCCAGCGCAACTCGCCAACCTCGAGCCCTGGTTCGGCCCTCATCTCCAGCGCAACATCTACCTCACCCTCCTGCACATGAATCCCGAGGACGCCAGCCCGGAAGGGTCCGAGAAGTCACCCAAGATTCCCGACAGCATCCTGCGAGCCGCCCTCCTCCGCCGCGCCATCGAAGACCTCCGTAGGCTGGTGCAGCTCCGGTCTGCCAAGCAGGCCTGCAGCGGACTCCTACAGAAGGGCAGCGTGGGTGATGACCTGTGGCAGAGGTTTCAGCGTGCTGAGAAGGAGATGGAGGAGGAGCTCCGTGATGTCGTGGCCGAGGTAGGTCTCTTCTGTCCCTCCCTTTCTCTGTGATGGACGGGATTCCTGCATCGCCTCGTATATATATATGTATACATGTATATACATGCAGAAGACGTGGTACGCACGCGAGACTGACATTGTTCTTCCTAGGCCAATGCCCTGGCCCCTAACTGGGGACAGACCATCTTCCAGTCGGCGAACGAGATGCTCCTCAACAGCAAGGTGCGCGAACACGTGGCCGATGTGCAGGGTCAGGTGGCGGCGGAGAAGCAGTGGTGGGAGAAGCGTCGTGCGCAGATCAAGTCGGAGCTCTTCAAGGAGCTCGACGAGGAGAAGCAGACGACGACGAGACCGGGTAATGTCAGCGAGGACGAGGCTGTGCTGGTGGATACGCCAGCTGGCGGCAAGAAATAGAGAGGGGGGAGAGACATACGACACGTGCAAGACATGCCTTTCTCTGCACAACCTCGAGCGAGAACGCACACAACACGCACACACACGCACACACACACACGCACACGCACACGCACACGCACACAGACAGACACAGACACACACAGACACACACAGGCATTTTTCTATACACCACACCGCACGCGCGTACGCAGAGTACTATAACAGATATCACAGGGTAATGTGCGTGTGGGCAAGGATGGTCATTTGCAAAACGGATACATGGTACGGGGCAGAGGCGTTGAAATAAAAGGGCTTGTCTTTTTTTCTGTATCTCTTCTTCTAAAGGATAGTGGTTCTGGGCCGTTGGTATAGTGAGGAGAAGAAAGATTCCAGGGAGGAAAAAAAACAGGATTAAAAAGATAATATGAAAATTTCCAAAAGAAAAAAAAACATTTTGTGAAAGACGCCCACCAGTATGCATATGAATGTGTCTAAGTTAGTCCCCTCGACCGGCGTCTGAATGCATCCTCCCGACACCAAATGCACCACCCCTTTGCGCGCGTCCCTCCCTCCCGAACCGTTGTGACCTTGCGCCTGAGAGTCTGAGGGCTGAGCCCAGAAAAAAAAAAGAGAGAAGTACGGATATTTACTTGTGATGAAGACCGATGACTCCGGGAATGACGTGTCGAAACCAAAACCAAAACCAAAAAAAACCCCTAAAAAAAACAATGACGATGACGGAATGAAGTAATGACGGTAACAGAATGAAAAGTGATGACGATAACAGCAAGTAACACACGATGACCGCAGTAACAGGCGGGAAAGGGGGGGAAGAAGAAGAGCGAGACAGGGGAGGAGAAGGACGGGTCTGGTAGAGGAGGCACGAGGAGCGTCTCCGATGCAGAGAATCCGAGCATCAGAAGTCGGAGCGAGGGCGCCAGCAGGCCAACTTTGGCCTCGCGAGATCCTGGTCGTGAGCGGCTCTTGCGGCGAAGCGAGCCTCGTCGGCAATGTCGCGTTCCGACTTGAGATGGATGGGCTTCTCCTTGGAAGGGAGGGTGATGGTAGGGGTAGCAGCAGCGGTGGTGGTGGTGGTAGGAGTAGTAGTAACAGGAGCAGTAGCAGTAATAGCGGCAGTAGCAGCAGCAGCAGCAGTAGCGGCGGCGGCGGCGGCGGCGGCGGTTGTGTTGATGGTGCGATGGTTGCGATGATGGGTGGAAGAAGGAGGAGGAGGAGGAGGAGGAGAAGAAGAAGGAGGAGAAGGATGAGGAGGAGAAGAATGAGGAGGAGGAGGAGGAGGAGGAGGAGAGGTGAGAGGATGGCAGCATCCCCTCAGACCGATGAAGCTGCCGATCCTGCGCCTCTTGGCCTCGAGAGGCAGGTTGGAGTCCCAGGCGACGGGGCAAGGGTACAGGTAGGTGAGGTCGGAGGGCCGGCGCTGGTGGTAGAAGTCGGCGATGGACTCGAGCTGGTGGTCGGTCAGGAGCCAGAACTGCAGGACGGTGCGGGGGAAGTCGGGATGGACCTGTCCGGTGGTGATCTGGACGAGGGGCGAGAGGTTGAGCCTCATCTGGTTGAGCTTGTGACGGAGCGCAGGGTTGCGGGCGATGCGGCGCTGCATGTTGGCGGCGGCGTGAGCCTGAGTAGGCATGATCTGACGATGCAGCATTTTTTCTTTCTTTCCCTTTTTCTTCTTCTTTTTCTTCTCCTTTTTCTTTTCTTTTTCCCCCCTCTTCTTTTTAACCCTTGATCATGTATGTTGCGCTGTTGTTGTTGTTGTTGTTGTTGATGTTGTTGTTATTATGTGAGGTTATTGTTCCTGTTGATGTGGTGTGGTTGACGATGATGATCAGGGGTATGAGTGTATATATATATATATATATATATATATATAATATGATATATATATAATATGATATATATATAATACAAGTAATGATGTATATAATTGTATAAGCTGCTGCTTTCTCTCTCCCGGTAGGCTTGGTTTCTCTTCTTTCTTCTTCTTGACGTCGTATGAGGATACCCTTCCCAAGGGGAATATGGTGATGAGTTGAATAGATAGGAGAGAGATAGGGAGAGAGAGAGAGAGAGAGAGGAGAAGACGAGATGAAGAAAGAAAAAGAGAGAGAGAGAAGAAGTAGAAAAGGTGGTCAGCAGGTTTCTCTCCCGTTTTTCATCAGACCCCAGCAAACCAGGTGAATCAAATCCGAGCAAGTGGCCGCATACGGAAGGGAAGGACGGGTTGCAGCTCTTGCAAGTCCTCTCTTTTTCTTTCCAGGTAATATTACTCGGAAAGATGGGAGAGAGAGAGAGAGAGAGAGAGAGATTTAAAAAATTAAAGGAAAAAAAAAAGAAGAAAAAAAGGAAAAAAAAAAAAAAGAGTCGAGAGCTAGTAATACCAACTTTCTACGAGTAATAATAGCGTGCAGTCTAACTCTTGTCAATATCTTCTCCACGGACCATACATGATACATGTAGTAATATAGACCTGTTTCTTATTCTTGTCATGGGGTGTGCATGCTTGTTTGCTGGTGTATGTAGGTGTGTATGTGTGTGTGTGAGAGAGAGAGAGAGAGAGAAGAGAGAGGGTGTGAGGGTGTGGGGGTGTGTGTGTGTGGGGGGGGCGTGCATATAATATTGTGCACAGGTAATCTGTACAGATTACGTGTATGAGATCCACTTTTTTCCTTTTTCATCATCAGAGGGAGGGAGAGAGAGAGAGAGAGAGAGAGAGAAAGCAGACATCAGATGGGTTGGACTGTCTGACTGTCTGACTGTTTAGTAGTAGCATGTATGTACACGTACAGATTACCCATGTCGTATATATCCCCCCCCTCATCAGTTACTCCATGACTATCCGAGGGATTCGAGAATGCATCCGAGACTAGACCATCTATAATCAAGAGTCTGGCAGAGGAAACTGAACCACCACCACCACCACCACCACCACCCCTTTCGGAGCACGTTTTTTTTTTTTTGGTATGCGTGTGCGTGCGCGTGCGTACATGTGTGATGACCCTTTCTGAATCATTCTATTTGACCGCCTCGTCGTCTTTTGTCTCTACCCCGTGTCTTCAAGACATTACAGAGAGAGAGAGAGAGAGGAGAGAGAGAGAGAGAGGAGAGAGAGAGAGAGAGAGAAGATTGGAATGCTGCCCTTCAACTGAGACAAATGGATGAGGGTCCTCTTGGATGTACCGGATCAGTCCAAGTGCACAGAGTAGTAGGCCATAGT